AAGAAAACGTGTTCGAAGAGCCCAAGAAAGTGTTGAGGAATGTTATGGAAGACGTAGATTGCAGAGATCAAGTGCAATAATAACTGTTCAAGATGTAACAGTAGATGTCGAAGAGTATAATATTGGCTCAGTGACGGAACAATGTAGTTATTGTAAAGCTTACTTCTGGGTCAAAGAAAGAAATTCTTCTGGCAAATATACGAAATGCTGCCACGATGGAAAAACTAATTTGCCTACACTAATGGACATTCCCGAGTTGCTGCAAAAATTATTAAGTGATAATTCGATTGAGGCACGAAATTATCGAAATGATATCCGGGAATATAATTCTGCTCTTGCTTTTGCATCATTTGGAGCACACATAAAGCCACCTCCTGGAAATGGACCGTATTGTTTTCGGATTCATGGTCACCTTTGTATAGCAATGATCAAAATAATGCTGGATACGGGCAGCTGTATATTTTTGATTCAACTGAAGCTACCAACAGACGCATTGAAAACAATACTGGATGTTTACGTTCTGTAATGGAACAATAATGGTCTATTCAGGCAAATTAACCCTTTTGCTGCATCATATTTTCAGATGCATCAGTTTATTCAATTAAACCCTACAGCAGATGTAAAATTAGTGTTTATGAAAGATCCCTCTTCAGATTTGAGACGGTATAATGCTCCCACCTCAAAGACAGAAGTTGCTTCCATATTCGTTTTAGACAATGGGGAGCCTCCATCCAATCGAGATTTGTGCATCTATCCTGTTGCAGACTCTTGCAAAGCTATTTCTCCTATGAATCCATGCATTGATCCAATGGTCTATCCACTTCTCTTTCCACAAGGAGATTTTGGTTGGCATGCTGGAATGGAGCATGTACAAGAGCGACGTACTGCCAAGCGTATCCGTGTAACCCAATTACAGTATTATGCTTACAGACTTGCTATCTGCAGTGAGTTCAGCCTTCTTCATAGCAGTGAATAGCTCTTTCAGCAGTTCATCGTTGATGTTTATGTCAGAACAGAAGGTTCAAGATTGAACTATTTAAGATTGTACCAGAAAGATTTACGTGTTGAGTTACATCAAGGTCTTTTGGACGCTCTTCAAAGTGAAGCTCACTCAAACAATGTAAAGTTAGAGAAGTTGATCATTTTGCCATCAACCTTTCAAGGATCTCCTCGCGCCATGCAACAAAATTATAAAGATGCCATGGCAATTGTTAGAAAATTTGGGAGACCAGATATTTTTCTAACTTTTACATGCAATCCAGCATGGCCAGAAATAGTGAGTGCTCTACAGAGACACCAGCGTCCTGAAAATAGACCCAATATCATTGTTCGTGTCTTTGAATTGAAATTGACAGAACTTTTGGATGATATTTTGAAACGTCATGTATTTGGTAAGGTTATTTCATTTATTTATGTTATTGAATTCCAAAAACGTGGGTTACCACATGCCCATATGCTGTTGACATTGGATTCTGCTAAAATTCGAACTAAAGATGATATCGACAAATTTGTGAGTGCAGAACTGCCCAATAAAACTCTTAACCCTAGACTTCATGATATTATTACAAAATGTATGATTCATGGTCCCTGTGGCATACTTAATCAAAATTCTCCTTGCATGAAGGAGGGTTTGTGTTCTAAAAATTTTCCGAAAGATTTTCAAGAGACGACTCAAGAAAATGAGAACGGTTATCCAGTTTACCAGAGAAGTATTACAGAACCTATCAATGTAGGTAAATATGATATTGATAATCGTTGGGTTGTGCCTTATAACCCTTGGTTATCAAAGAAATTTAATGCTCACATCAATGTTGAGATTTGTGCTTCGGTCAAAAGTGGGTAATATCTTTACAAGTATGTTTACAAAGGCCATTATGCTGCATCTATTAAATTGCAGCTAAACGATGATGTAAATCACGATGAGATTTTGACATTTCTAGATGGACGCTATATGCCAGTGCTCCTGAGGCAATGTGGCGGCTAAATGAATTTCATATGTTTGAAAAATCGCACACTGTCATGAGGTTAGCTGTTCACTTACCAAATCAACAGCAAGTAATTTATCAGAGTGGCCATGAAGTTGAAGCTGTTGCTCGAGCCTCCGCCAGACATACGACTTTAACAGCATGGTTTCAATTAAACCAAACTGATGTTGATGCCTGCAGATATTATTATTCTGATATGCCTCATTATTATGTTTTTGATCGTAGAAATAATTGGTGGAAAAGACGTCAAAGGGGTGGCGACCAAATAATAGGCAAGATGCCCGTTGTCAGCATTCAAGATAGCGAACGTTATTTTTAGCGAATGTTGCTGCTGCGGAAACCTGGTGCCATTAGTTTTGAAGATTTAAAAACAGTTAATGGAAATGTGTGCATCAGTTTTCAGCAAGCATGTAGGGAAGGCCGGGATAGCCTGGTCGGTAGGGCGCTGGGCCCATATCCAAGAGGTCGTGGGTTCGATCCCCGCCGGCCGAAGACTCCCCGTGTAGTAAATGGTGACTGATGCACGTTAAATCTGTCGAGTCTCAAAGTCCTCCATGTTCCCACAACAAATCAATACCTCTGGGGGTACTGATCCAGGAGTTTCCTTGTCTTCTGGATTGGTTCAAAATTACAAGGCTACGGAGTTGAACGTAAATAGTCGTAAACCCATGAAATTGGGTCGGCTGTTCAACGACGGTTATAAAATAAAATAAAAGCATGTAGGGAGCTTGGCTTTCCTGAAAGAGATGAGCATTGGCATGAAACTTTGCGTGAGGCTTCACTGATTCGAATGCCACATCATTTGCGAATGCTTTTTGCAGTTATTTGCGGATTTGGTGAAGTAGAAGATATTCCTGGTCTTTCGACACAGCATAGAGATCTTCTTTGTGAAGATTTTGCGCACCAGCACTCGGAGGAAACAGCATATCAGTATGCTCTTGCTGAAATAAATGATCTATTGTTAGTTTATGGGTTAAATCTGAAGAAAGTAAGACTTCCAGAGGTTAACTTGCCTCATATTAGCCAACTTTTACCAGCCTATGATGTGGTAGATGAGCAGACGAAAGGTCAACTTAACTATGGAAAGCTAAATATTCAACAACGTGTTGCTGTTGATAAAGTTATGAGTGCCATTTATAAGAATGAAGTTGAAAAACCTTGTTTTAGATGGGCCTCCCGGTACCGGATAAACTTTTATCTATTCAACTTTGTTGCACTTAATCCGTGGAAAAGGTTATACAGTGACTCCTGTAGCATCAACTGGAATTGCGGCTACTCTTTTGAAAGGCGGAAGAACTGCTCATTCCATATTTAAAATACCAATTACTTTAAACACTACTTCTACATGCAATTTAAAACCTACATCTCCAGAAGCTATTCCATTATTTAATTCTTAATTAATTATATGGGATGAAGCTCCGATGACGCATGTGCATGCATTTTTAGCTGTAGAAAGACTTTTGCAGGACATAATGAGCTGCTCACATCCTTTTGGTGAGAAAGTTGTGTTGATGGGAGGAGACTTTTGACAAGTTTTACCTGTCATTCCTAAAGGTTCCCGTTCGCTGACAATTGCTAGCTGTCTTAAAAAAACATCCCCTTTGGACTAAATTCTACATCTTATACCTTAATCAAAATACGCGGGCACTTTCAACTGAAAAGGCGTTTGCTGAATGGTTATTGGATGTTGGAAACTGCAAAGATGGTGAAATGATTAAGTAGCCTGATATTTGTTATCCATCTAACCAAGACCCCATTAAGCAACTATATTCTGATGTAGATTTTAACACTGCATACCCTCCAACTTATGAGGATTTTGAAAATAATTCTTTCTAGTGGTAGCGAACCAAAGTAGAAATTTTTAAAACAAATGGATATCTCAAAAAACTTTTATCAGAACTTAAGAATCTAGCCATATGGCCTGCACTTTTATAAGTAATAGTGGACAAGTTACGCTTAAATTAATTTTTTTTAAATATTAAGACATTAATTTTGCTACCGTCTGAAAAGAAGATTTCTGAAACTACGGAAATTCCGTAGCAGTTGGAGGGTATGACACTGTAACTCCGTGCCAACTCAAAGGTAGGGCAATTTTAACAGTCACCAACGATTTATCAGTAGTATTCAATAATGATGTGCTGGAACTAGCCAGGAATTACTAAAATTTATGAAAGTGTGGACACTGTCATTAGTGATGATCCACAAGATCAACTAAGCTACCCTGAGGAATTTTTGAACACCATCACTCCTACAGGAATGCCTCCCCACAAATTAAAGATTAAGAAAGGTGCCATAATATTGTTACTGAGAAATTTAATGCCATCTAAAGGACTCTGTAATGGCACTAGATTAATTGTTACAAACTTGCAGCGTAATTTAATTGAAGCTAAACTGATTGATGATGATGAAGCAGGTACATTTTTCATTCCGAGAATACCTCTAATCCCCTCTGATAACAACATGCCGTTTTCTTTTAAGAGAAAACAATTTCCTATTAGGCTGGCCTTCTCCATGACTATAAATAAGTCACAAGGTCAGACTTTTGAGAAAATCAGTTTAGTATTGACTAAACAAGTTTTTAGTCATGGACAACTTTATGTTGGCCTGTCAAGAGTTAAGTCATTTGACAGCCTTTCAGTAATTGCTCCAAGATGCCAAATCTATAATTGTGTTTTCAAAGAAATTCTAAATGCTTAGTGTTAATTTCTTAGAGCTTTGCAGAAAAAAA